TAATCTTCTAGTTAGATTGCAGGTATGGTGGCTAGTGTAGAACCCAGGCAGACTACTTAAATTAGGTACCAAAAGTACATATGTGGCTAATTGTACTCTTGTGAATTTGATATAATATTATAACTATCTGAATAAAGCTACATACCAGAGACCTAAGTAGTCACCTTAATATTAAAAAAAATAAATAAATAAATAAATAAATAAACTCTAATTCCAAAAAATACAGTATTATAAAAAATTTTTTTAAGCTTATATTTTTATATAAAGCAAATATCTATACTTGGTTTTGGTTTATTATTTCTAAGGGTTCTTTTACTATAAAACTATACTTAAGTATATATATTTTATATATTCTAAACTCATAATTTTAATTGATGTAAATCATAAATTACTATATTACTAACCTAGAATATTCAAAAATCTTGTTACCAATTAAGATATTATAGTTGAAATTCTTGATACTAATTGAATTTAAATATTATTAATTAGTTTTTTTATACTGTTTTTTATTTATCTTATCTATTTTTTTGGCTATTTCAAAAAATATATTATTTTATTTTTATAATATGATTATTGTATATGCTTTTATTTTTAGAAAAAAAATAATGAAACAAAATACTACACATATTGTCAAATATAACTAAAGAGTTGTATATAATATAGTTGCAGTTGCGAATATTATTAAATACTTATATTCTTTATTATAGCACTTTTGAATTGCAACTTAGAATATAATGTATATATTAAGAATTAAACTATTGATTATTGTAATAGAGTAAAGAAAAATAGTTTAGATAGTCAAAAAAATATTTTTGTTATATTTAATGAATACAAAATTTCAAAATGCCAGTTTTTTAGTATTATAAAATACAAAGCTCTAATATATAAATAAAACCAAAATTTAATGAAATAAGAAAACATTAATGAAAAAAATCTTAAATACAAAAAAAAAGCTAATTTATTAAAACTATAATAAAAAAGTAATACAAATAATATTTAATAAGAAGAGTAAAAAAAATATACTAAAAAAAAATTCACAAGTTTAAACCAATATTAAAAGATAAATTAAACAACATAACTTTTTTTTTAATTTTATGACTCTCTAAAAATCTTGTAAAAGAAATTTTTATCCTTTACTTTTGTAACTTTCAAAACATGTAATTCAGAACAGTATCTTTTTACTTCTTTAATAAAATTCTTAATTAATTCAGAAATAAATTTATTCTTCTCATAATTGCTATTACTTAGCCTCATATTTATTAAAGTGTTTTTTTTACTATATGAATGTGTTGATAAAGTTTGGCAACCATGTATTCAACATATCAGAATAAACATTACTAAGATTTTTAGCAAATAAGTACTTACCAAAAAGACAAATTTCAAATTGAGTACTTGATAATTCAAGCATAGTTTCTAAAAATATCAATTTGAAAAAGGCTTTTTTTTACATGCAATTACAATATCATAAAATTGTGCTCTTGGTTCCTTCATTACTGGGTCCAGTAGTAGATTCTGATAAATGAGAATAAGCTGCCAGTTTGTTGAAGAAGTTATTATACAGTAAGAATCATTTCAAATAATTACATTCAATTTTGCAAAAGTTTTTAATAAAGCCTTGATTTGTACATTAAATATCATGTTCGTATTAATTCAGTTCAACAGTTTGAGAGTATGAATACTAATCAGTATACTTAGACTTCACGTATAAAAAAAAAACTTAAATTACTAATTTTTAAATTGAGATTAAAGAGAATTGTCAGAACTATAATCAAGTGTTATTTTATTTTAAGGATATAAAGAAATTTTATTTATAGTAGAATAAAAATAAGTATCTTTATAAAGTTTAACATCTAAGGTTTTTATATTTATCTACTAAATTAACATGCTAAGAATTAGGTCATGATATTGTGTAATTTCCGGGATTAAAATTCAAAAATATAATAAAAATTAATTAAATGATTGTATTTGATTTGCTGATTAATTTTTTTTTGTTATGAATTGCTTATGAAACCATTTTATAATAAACATTATAAAATTAAATTTGTTTGTCCATTGCATCCTATAATGACGTATTCTCGTTATTGTATTACTTAATTTTTAATGATCACAATATTCACATCAAAAATTTTCGCCCATACGAGATAACACTCGAAAATAAATTATTCGAATAAGTGATTTTACCAAATGATCATTTGTACCGGTAATAATTTTTTTTTTATAATAAACTACAGTCAACTCTCTCTAATCCGAACCTCTCTAATCCGAACTCTCTTTAATCCGTACCTAAAACTCTAAGACATTTATAAATTTTATTATAAAGTTCGGATTAGCATATAATACCTCTTAGAGAACTGAACTAAATATCAAAGAACGGGCAGTTCGGAATAGACAGAGTTGACTGTATACGTCACATAAAAGAATTTAAAAGCACTACTTAATATAATATGAATTTCTTATTTTAAATCCTAATAATTGATTATTTTATTACTCTAAAAATTAAATAGTTTTAAGAATTCTAATTTTAAATATAAATTTATTAACTCCCATATTCAAAAATTAATTATACTTTAGCTTTTATATTTTAATGAAAAATTTTAATAAGCATCGTATAACTGGTATCGCAATCATTAAATCTATGATCTGAAATTTTAATAAAATCTTTAGGATTCTAATTTTCAAGACTTGAACAAAACCTATTTATTAATGAATACTACCGTAAATGTGCGTATTCAAGACCTGGGTCTAATACACGCTGGCTGAGAGGTTATTTCGTAAAAAGAAAAAATTTAAAAATGCATCCACGATTTTGTACAGCTTGTCTAATACATGGTGAGTATACTATTTGGGAGATTTTGTATACGGTAGCGATTTTTGCATTGGCCATGCAAAACACATCCACGTTGTCTTGAGCATAACAGATAACGAGGTTGACCCTGTGGACTCACGTAACTTACACTTCCACAATGCTAAACAGTTCGTGTTCAGTGAGTAATGCTCACACCTTCGAACCCAAAAAATAATAACGTGTTTCGACTATTACCATGATCTACAAAATTAAAAAAAAAAAATAAAATAAAATAAAATTAAAATAAAAATAATGAATACGAAGTGTTATCATCACACCATCCTAACACCATTTGGTCAATATGATCGATTATTGTGATTTGGAGAAAAGAAAGCCTCGAGAATTTCAAAATTACAGAAAACGATGACATCGAATTATATGAGTAAAAGCGAAAGAAGAAAATGCAAGAAAACAAAGAGAAATAAAAACAAACTCACCAAACTTTCTTAAACAGCAACAACGATGAGATAGAGATTAAAAAAAAAACAACACGAGAAACACGAGATTTAAGTCACCTGTTTTCCTACGCATTATGCTCAATATTTTACACGAAACGATGAAAGATAGTTATTTGTCAAGCATACAATATATCCTTATACATACAATTTTATATTTAAAAAAAAAAGATCATCGTGTTTTTTTACATAGTTCTTTTTTTAATCATTTATTGTAATCTATTTACATCATAAACTATGATAAGGTAAGCCTATGAGAGATACAAAATCTGGAAAGATACGACATTTGAAGTAATATAGTGTTCATTGCTATGAAAGCAAATATAAAGCTTATACATATATATATATATTCCAAACGCCTAATTTCTACCCATTAAAATGTTATCAATCTTCATGCATCTTAGAATGTTCATGAGAATATTTCAAAATGTTTAAGTCAATCATTTATAGTGATTGTATAAAAACTTTGCTCTAGTAAGATATCAATACAGTACTGATAAAAGAATAAAAAAAAAAAAAAAGTAACATATAACAATCATTTATAGTTTATCATTTAATAATTACTACTTAATCAAAATCTAACAATCTTCGTCATTTTGTTTAGTCTTAACTTCTTCTTGATTGTATAAAGTTTCCCATAGATCAATTTCATCATCATCATCATTGTCGGCTACTACTGATACGTCGTTATCGAAGCAAACTGAATACGGTGACTGTGGTGCTGTTGTTGGTGTAGATTCATCATTTTCGATTAGATTATCTTCAATGGTGGAAGACGTAAAAACGGATGAAACAGATGTTGATGAAGGATGAGTTTGAGATGAAGGTGTATGTGTTTGAAGAGTATGAAATTCATATGTTGGAGGATTATCGATAACAACCGGTTTATCGAGGTCTACCAACCATGCGGGTTCGTGTAAAGATCCCGAAAAATTAAGATTATGAGTAGTTGGAAAACTTTCTAAAGTTATAGGAATAGAAAGAAGGCGATCATTCGCTTGAATAGGGGTATTGTTATGAATAGGAGTATTGTTAGGAGCAACTGGTGTTTCTCTATCTGTTCCAGGAGGTGTCATTAACGATAGCGCCAAGTTTTGTTTATTCTGCCAATTGAAAAAATCGGTAGAATTATCGTTTGTTTGATAAAAATTTCCGTACACATGTTCGGGGAATGACTGCACCGTTGATACTGGTGTGGTCTCAAAGTCTGGCATGAAAATTAATATAGTAAATATGAATAAATCGAATGAAATAATTTATAAATTTTACCATTTATTAAATAACCATCACCTTCAGAACTATAATAAGGAGAATAAATTGATCGTTCATCATTTTCAGCAGTTTTCAATTCGCAAGGTGTATTCCAATAATTATCATAAACAGTTTCATGAATTAATCCAATCATATTATTGTTCTGATTATTAGAGATCAATTGAGAGTAATATAAAGATTGACCATTTTCTTTTGCCGTATCCAATTGATGTTCATTATCAGATGTTAAAGCTATAGAAATGTTTGCAAGATTAGGTGTAATCCTAGTCATTCCTTGCGTTTTAGAATCAGTAGGTGAAGCGGTAATTGAAGAAGTCGAAGAAATAGGTGAAGAATGAATAGATTCAGAATCATTAATTCTTTTTTCTTGACAATATTCTGCAGCTAATGTTAATTTTTTTGGTCTGTTGAATTTTGCCGCATTTTTAGATTCTAAAGCATCCCTTTTAACTTTTGCTCTACGATTTTGAAACCAAACTTGAATTGCACGAGATGACATATTGAGCTGTGCCGCTAATCGGGTACGCATTTCTGCGTCAGGTTTTTGAACTTTTTCAAATGTACTAATAAGTACATTTGTTTCTTCTTCTGTAAGACGACGACGACGTTTAACTTGACGATATGGAACTGGATAATGGAAAAGTTGTCCAAGAGAAGCAGTTGAAGGTTCCGAAGATGTGAAATCATTGATCAAGAGACCGTCTTTTATGTCTGGATCAACTATAAATTCTCGATGATGATGAGGTGAAAATAATGAATGATGCCGACTTTCGCCAAGACTTGAACCTCCATTATCGACATTACTGATATTCATCATATCTGCGGAAGATTGTTCATAATGTTGATCATGAAAAGGGAACGCTGCAATCATTGAATATTTTTAATATAAAAACCGTGCAAGGTAGTCAAAAAGTTTAAATATTAATACAAAGTGTTATAATACAATAATAATTTTATTATTATTATTATTATAATTATAATTATTATTATTATTATTAAATAATTAATCCTATTTAACAAAAAGAAACACGCAAAGAAAAAAAAAGAGCAAGCGTGAATAAATAAGATAAAATTTAAACCGTGAATTAGACAACTTTTTATATATGAAAAATGATAAACAAGATATTATATCACCTTTCATTAATAACTTTTTTATCTTTCTCTTTCTGATCCTGCCTTATTGATTTATATTGTTTGTCAAAAAGAAAGTATAAAAAAATCATTTCACTACTGTTCATCAATTGACGAACTTCAACACTTCTGAATTTGTCAGAGAAAAATCAGTTATTTATCATTTAAATAAAGTCATAGGTGTGAAATTTATATATATATTGTTAATAAGGTGATCGTATCTAATTAACTGCGGCGCAAATATTCTTTTTGCATAAATCTATTTTATCGATACATTATTTTATTGTTTGTGCGTAAGAGCTGGTCAACTGCTGTATATTTATAACAATCATTCTTTTATGATAGATTTTTAATGCGCATTCAATAAGATTCGCGTTTTTTAATGCCGTAGTTGGTCATCAGATTTGTGACATAGTTAACGTGTCATAATATAGAGTCTTTTGGGGCTCTCTTTAACTCTTCAATTGATCTCGATCGAGTCATCCGATTTTGAAAAGTGGCTATTGTAAACTACGAGTATTGATAGGCGTGTCATATCTACATCATTAATTTTTGAATAATGATGTGATAATGATGTTGGCTATGCAAGAGAATATCTTTCGAGTGTGAAATTTTATAAGAAAAACAATGTCACGTCAAATTGTGATAACCTTTCCATAAAAGTTTATAGTTTTGAAATAGAATAAATTTTCGTTGTTCTAATGTATTAGCACTTATCGGTGAAAACGACGACTATACGTTATATCTGATTTTTTAAATAAAGAGTACATATCTTTTGAAAATCGGCCACGTTTTTTTGTATATTAAATAAAAAATAATAAAATAATATAGAGTTCCTATCCATTATCCGTTTATCCATTTATCTATTGGATATCCAGATCTGAATTTATTCGGATATCCGTT